GTGTGAAAGCTCCTGGTGTGGGAGATGGACTCTATGAGGATCTAATAAGTGTATACTTTGCCTTCTCCTTAACCTCCTGTTTGTAAAAGCAGGGCAGGGGTGAGATGATTTCTGGGGTTCATTTCAGCTCTCAGGGACTGAGTGATCTGTGCTTTAATGACCTTTTCTGCTGCAAGGGTTGGCGCAGATTTGCTGACCTTTTCCCCCAATACTGTTCTGTTTCCTGCCAGTCCTAAAGGAGACTGCATCCTGTATTTCACAAGTTCTGCTGCTGTTACTGAGATTCCAGCAGGTCAAAGTGGAATTTCTTACATATTAAATTTTTTTAAACATTTATTCATCTTTAAGAGTTAGAAAGGTAGAGCATGAGCAGGGGAGAGGCAGAGAGAGTGGGAGACATAGAATCAGAAGCAGGCTCCAGGCTCTGAGTTGTCAGCCCAGAGCCTGATGCGGGGCTCAAACTCAGGGATCACAAGAGCATGACCTGAGCTGAAATCAGACGCTTACTGGACTGAGCCACCCAGGTGCCCCTGGAATTTCTTATATATTTTAACATTGAAGATGAGAGATCATAATATGGCCCTGTAGGATTCAGAGAACATCACTGGCCATCCCTCATATAATTTTAAGAATGAACGGATCCGTGCCTATATATGGTATACCACGAGAGCTAGTACAGTGGAAAGAACATGGGCTTTGGATTTTAAATTGCACCTCCACACTCTTTTCCTTGTTATGCATGGGCAGAAGTTACTAATCCTCTCTGGTCCTGGGATTTCTCTTGTGGGAATTGAGCCCTACTTCCTGTAGTAGTAGGGCTGAAATAAAATTAAAGGGCAGGTAAATGTACAGTGGTGGTCCATAGCAGGGGGTCCATAAATATTTGTTAGTTTCCCTTCTCTTCACTTATATGTGTGGAAGTTTATAAAATACTTCATACTTTTAGTCAATCGGTTCTCACAGTAAGATTGTGAAATAGGCTGGGTAAGGATTAATATCATTAATAATCACATTTGGAGGCAAAGAGCATGAGATTGAGAGGTGGGGTGGAGCTAAGTAAGTCACTCAGTGAATTAATGGTGGGGCCTAGACTAGAATCCAGGGCACTTGCATTGTAATCTGGAGGGTTTTTCATGCTATTTTTCTTATATCCGCCATCCCATGGAGTGGAATGTGAAAAGGCAGATGTGTGATCCTGATGCTTTTTTTTCGCCCTCTTCTGAACTATGCCTAAGACTCTATCTATTTTTGGGCTTTGAAAGACCAGGATTTGATTTCCAGCTTCTCTTCATTAAAGAGTTCTAGGATCTTGGGCAAGTCAGTTACTTGTCCAACTTTCCTGAATCCGCTTTCCTCATCTCTAAAATGGATACAGTCATAGCTAACATTTTTTAAGCACTGATATGGGCCATGCCCTGTTCTATGTACCTTATGTGGATTATGCCACTTAATCCTCAATAAATATATGACTGAAGCACACTACAGGTATGAACAAATTATTCTCACCCAAGCACCAAGATCATAGAGCATGTGATGCTGTTTTCTTTCACTCTGTCTCTCAAAATGGTTGTGAAGATTACATGAGACATTTTAGGCAAGAACTTTACAATGGAGTTCTACAGAAACAAAATTATAAGTGTAAGTTGGGAGTTAGCTTCATGATCCATGTAAATTTTCTTTATAGGCACCTGAGTCTTATAGTTTCGTTTAAGAGTGTTCTCCGTTGTAGAAATAGAAGTCTTTCAAAATCAAAGTGTAACAATTGCCATATCTAAACAAAGAACCAAAGTAATTTTGGAATGCATTTTTTTTAAAGTGGCACTTCTGCACTGGCCTTCAATTGCTATCAATTGCTGATTTTTTCCACTCAGAACTATGTTAGAAGACACTTTCTCCTGCAACCAGAATCTGTTCTTAGAACCAGAAACTTCCTAGAATTGTGTACGCATCTTCACCCCACCCCCTTTTTTCAGTACTTCCTCCACCCATGTCACAGTCATGGAACCCAGACTGGTTGTCCCTGTTAGTGGAGAAATCTGTCCATAACACTGAAGTGTTGAGGGTAGAAAGCCTTCCCTTGGGCTGGGAGAATAGAATCTTGATTTTTCAAAGAGAAGGAGAAACCGGAGAACTCCACACACCCCCCAACTCTTCCTTCACACTCCCCCAACAGGTTGGAGATCTCCTTTTTATCTTTGGGTCTTTCCATAACTGCCTCCACCAGTTCTCGCATTCTGGATTCTGTCTTCTCATCACCCTGTGGAAAAGAACACAGCCTCATAGATTCTGCCCTCCTCATTTCTGGAGAAAGCAGGCGCAGAACCTCTCAGAGGTCTTCTTGGGACTTGTAATGCTAACCTCAGAAGGAGAAAGGGTGAAGGTGACAGTGAGAAATTTTAAATGCATATGAAGTCTTAAAAGCCTCAGAACAAGTATTCTTCCTAAATACAAAAAGGACTTGGCTGCCCTCTCTTTCTTGGCTTCTAATCTCTGTCTTCTTATTTTGGGGCAAGCCAAGCCTATGCTGTGGCTCATTTTATTTCTAGGAGCTATGGACTATATCCTCCTGAGCCTTTGAAATCAGTAGAGGGCGACAATGGCACACGTAGATGGAAAGAGGGAGCCTTGGCTTGAGTTTCACCACTACTGCGGAGGAGACCGCGTTCTTCCAGTCCTTTCTGTCTCAGCTGCTGTGTTGTTCGATCTCTACCCCTCCTTCTCTCTATCAGTCTACCTCATTCTTAATTCTCACGTTATTTATAAGATCATATTTGATCTTTGCTAATAATCCATCACCTCAATAGTGAGGGAAAAGATGAACTAAACGTGTCTTTAAACAGCTAGTCTTCAAACAGGGAGAAATCATTTGTGTATTTTAGATCACTGCTTACATGAAAACAAAATACCGAAGATGAAATAAAGAGTGAAATTTAAAATATATCAAACACTAGAAGATAATAGAATATTTACCAAAACATAGAATGACTAAGAACCGTTTAAAACCTAGAGGCAAAGAAAAATATCAACAGAGTTGACTTTAAAAACTAAAACTTCTGACACTTAAAAATCAGGATAAACAAAAGAATAATCAACAGAATAATCACTCAAGAAAATAATCATGGCATATATGATAAAGTGTTGATACCAAGAGCTCACACAAATTGATTCAAAAGCACATTCTGTCTCTAATAAATTAAGTGACAAAAATCACTAACAGATTGTGCAATGAGTGAGGAAATTAAATTAGCATAGGTAATTAAGTTAGAAAACAGGGTTTTAATAAAATGTACAACTCACTAATGATCAAAGTAGCAAGGTACCATTTCTTTTGTCCCCTAAACTAACAACAACAAAAATAGGCTTTTAAAAATTTTGTTGGTGAGAGTAGTTAATAGGCTCTCTAACACATGACCTAGTAACAGTATAACAAACTGCAATTTGGAAATATGCATCAAGAGCCTTAAAAATGTTCATACCTTTTGGTTCAATACTTTTATTTCTGGGAATATGTCATAACAGAATATGAGTTGAGGATAAGCTACATGACCGAGGATATTAGTTATGGATTTTAAAATAAAACTTTACAATGGAAGTAAGCTAAAAGTACAACACAATAGAAATGGTTCCATATATTTGACCATATCCCTCCCTTTGATGAACTAGCACACACATAGTTAAAATGGTGATTATGTGACCTGGAAAATGACAATACAAAAATTGGGGAATAAAATTCCTGTGCAAAGTATGTTTTTCATTGTGTTTAAAAATAAACTGAGGAAGTCTTGGGTCTGGGGATCCTTTTGTTTTCTGTGGCTTCCAAAATGTTTATGTTATTAGTTGTAGTGAATCCATGTGTGTGTCTATATCTACACCTACACCTACACCTACACCTACATCTATCTATCTATCTATCTATCTATCTATCTATCTATCTATCTATCTACCTATGAAAAATGAATATATAGGAATAAATGATGGGTTGGTAGAATCACATTGAGGCAGCACTACAGAGCCCCAGGTGATGGGACATAGAAGTGGGATTCTAGACACCATGCACATCTTTGGGGGTAAAATTGCCAATCAGGGTCTTTCCTGCATCCCTCATGGAGGAACTGTCTCCTGAAACCAAACCAATTCTGGCAATCTTGTATAACCCTTGAGAGATAAACAAACTGATGAAAAATAGTGAGCCTTTGGAGTAGAAAATTACTCATGGACTGTGTTTAACTTAGAGCCATGTTCTTGGGGTTTGGCACCTTTCACACTCCACAAAGGGTTTTAGTGATGACTGTAATCCGGGATTCTAGGACCTGTTCCTCTCTCTGTGGTGCTTTCACTCAACTCCCTGATGAGAGAAGGTTGGGAAGATGAAGAAGCTGGCTATTACTGGTAGCGGACTAAGATCACCCAAATATCAGAGGCAGAAACTGGGAGGTGATGAGTATATATATATATATAAAGGCATTTTCTAGGAGGGGGATATGAAGGAACGGTTCTGGGAAGGGTATCCCCGGCCACCTGTACCACTTGAACTTTTTGCTAGGGCTCCCAGAATACATATTTCATTTTTTTTTAAAGGTTTTTATTTATTTCTGAGAGAGAGAGAGAGAGAGAGACAGCATGAGGGGGGGGGGGGTCAGAGAGAGAAGGAGATGCAGAATCCAAAAGAGGCTCCAAGCTCTGAGCTAGCTGTCAGCACAGAGCCCAATGCGGGGCTCAAACCCATGAACCGTGAGACTCATGCAAGGGGTCAGTGGATATCCTCATGGGACAGTGTGTCTCTGGTTGTCTGACTAACTCAGGGAAAGGCTATGCGTGTGTACCTTGTGCAAAAATGTGTTTATATGTGTGTGCACTCATGTGTATGTATATATGTGTATGTGTGCATGTACACGTGCAATAATCCAAAGGGTCCATCATGTGATCCAGGAGATGGTGAGAGGAAGAAAGAATAAAGAAGAAAGGAGGAAGAACAAACTTAGAAATGAAGGAGAGGGAAGTAGAGAAGAAAAAGGAGGCAGAGAGAGGAGAGATACTGGTTAGAGTCGAAGGAGTTTATCGGAGCCATCATCCTTGGAAAACTTAAGGGATGGAGTATTGACAAATGGACTCTTGGGAACTGGGTCCAAGGAGCCTGGTCCTGTGCTCAGACATGAGGTAATTGGAAAAGGGTCATCCTGCCCTCACTGAACTCACAATCTGTTGAGCAAAGGAGATTATGCACAGAGAGTAATGCTAAGTATGACAAATTTCAGGGCAGAAAGAGATCAAGGTGGGTGGAAATGGTTAGAACAGTCTTCTGGAAGCCATGAGCATCGAGAGAGCAGGTCTCAGAAGTGGACGCTGCTGAGACGGCCCCCGTCCTGCGTAGGTCCTGCTGGGGTGTGCTGTGTGGGGTCTGCTCCCATGGCTGACGCTGCGGATCTGGGTTCCAGGCTCAGGATGCTGTTGCTACGAGCTGTTCTACTGCTACTAGTCCTGCCCACTCACGGCCAGGACTCCGAGACAGAAGGGCCTGGAGCCGTGGTTCCCCTGCCAAAGGGGGCCTGCACAGGTTGGATGGCAGGCATCCCGGGGCATCCCGGCCACAATGGGACCCCAGGCCGGGATGGCAGAGATGGCACTCCTGGCGAAAAGGGTGAGAAAGGAGATCCAGGTAAGAACAAGGTTTTTGGCTTCCATTGTCACAGACTTCTGCTGGGTGGAGGAAGCATTAGCTATTGGCTAAGGTCTAGACACAGGGAGGAAGCAAACTTATTTTCTGTGACCCATAAGCAAACTGAAGTGGATTTGGGGTTTACCTCTGGTGATGAGAATAGGTGGTACCTGTAAAACTAGTACCCTAAACTCTGCTCTATCCACATCACGTTCCCTGTACTCTTTCCCATCCCCACCTTATCCGTCACTATTCCCAGTCTGTTCACATTCATGTTTCCGTTCATTTCCACTAAATTCCCATTCCATCCAGGGGCATTCACATGTAACACACACTCTTGCAGCTCACGATCTTGCTCTTGGGGAACTCGGTCTAGTTAAGGTGCTGAGTCGAATGCACAAGGCTGTTAAGGATTACTACAAGAAAGTCTATTCCAAATATGCCAAATTGAATGTGGACTAATGCCCAAAGTGTGGAACCAAGAGAAAATGCTCTCAATGCAGATCTGGATTATTAACAATGAAGGCTTTAAGGAGGAGATGGGGCTTGAGCCAGACAGAATGTTTAAGGGTTGTGTAGGATAGAGGGAGGGCATTCCAGACAGAGGAGATAGAAGAGCAAAAAGTATGGTTGGTTGAGCCAACATATGAAGGGTTGGTAGGGTGGAGGGTTTATGATGGAGACTTACAGGGAATGAGGTTGGAGGTGAATCTATGGGACCCTGCTGTGGGATGTAGAAGGAGAAGGTATAACTCATCTCTTTGGGAGCTCCCATTGTTCCCTGCTCTGTAAGTCAGGCAGGCTGTGGGTAAGGGAGATAAGGACCGTGTTTTAGGTTAGAACTTAACCGAGGCAGGAGTTCTGTCTGGTTCTGTGGCCATTGAAGTCTTCTCGTTCTCTAGGTCTTGTTGGCCCTAAGGGTGACACTGGTGAAACTGGAGTAACTGGGATTGAAGGTCCCCGAGGCTTTCCAGGAGTCCCAGGCAGGAAAGGAGAACCTGGAGAAAGTGCCTATGTATACCGCTCAGCATTTAGTGTGGGATTGGAGAGCCGGGTCACTGTCCCCAATGTCCCCATTCGCTTTACCAAAATCTTCTACAATCAGCAAAACCACTATGATGTCACCACTGGAAAATTCTACTGCAACATTCCTGGGCTGTACTACTTTGCCTACCACATCACAGTCTACTTGAAGGATGTCAAGGTCAGCCTCTACAAAAGAGACAAGGCAATGCTCTTCACCTATGACCAGTACCAGGAGAAGAATTTGGACCAGGCCTCTGGCTCTGTGCTCCTCCATCTGGAAACAGGAGATGAAGTCTGGCTCCAGGTGTATGGGGATGGGGACTTTAATGGGCTCTACGCGGATAACGTCAATGACTCCACCTTCACAGGCTTTCTTCTCTACCACGACACCATTTGATCACAACTAAGTGAGAACCTCCACTGGGCCAAACAGCTCAAAATGGAAGAACAGTCTACAGGTTTTCAGTGTAGTTATGAGATTACTTTTATTACCTAGTTAGAGGGCTCTGAACATTATTCATTCATTTACTCATTCATTCATCAAGTGCTTTTTAAAAAAATTATATACTATGTTCCCAGTCCTGAAGAAGACATGGTCCCTGGTGTCAAGGATCTGCTATGTACTAGCAATGAAAAGTTAATAACATTTCCTGGGGTGTTTTGCACGCACGGTGAAATAGCTGACTAGCGTAAAGTATTTCACAGTGTTATTCTGTGTCCACTGTTTTTCCTCATATTCATGCCAAGCCTGTGAGGTTCATAGGAAAGGTATTATTCTCCTCTTTTTACACGTGGGTCCTGAGCCTGAGAGAGTTAAGTGACTGTGTACGGGGACATAGGTATTAAGCGGCAGTGTTAGGAATCAAACCCATCTATAGACCTTCTCCCCTAGACCCTGCCCTTTTTTAGGAGTACATGGCCTCTTGGGAGTGTTGGTAGGGGGTCTATCACCCAGTTGGCCTTCATGGTGAGTTAAGCCTTTCCCTGGTAGAGCTTCCTCAAAGAGGGTGATTCTATGACTATGTCCCATCCCAGCTGGACCGCTAATGGCCCCTGCATGACCCTGTACTTCTGCTTTTCTGTGCCTTTCCTCATGCTCTTCTCTCTCGCTCAGAAAGCTACTTCCATCTCCACAGGCCGAAATCCTCCCTGTTTCTCAGAGCCACCTAGTCAGGAAGCTTCTCTGAAGTGATAGCTCTTTCCTGCAAAACCTCTGCACACAGTGTGCCCCTATGCCCCTCTATCTATTATACTAGATGAGAGTCCTGAATATGAAAGACATCCTTCCTCCAGGCCAGGGACAACTGATGGCGAAGAACTGTGTGCTTTCTTCACCACTGAGTCCCTTTGTGGGTCCTTGAGAAATGCCTCATGAAGACCAATCTCTTGAATCTCATCTCTACCCAGGATTAACTCTGCTTTAGTCTGTCCACATAACTAAACTTTATTTATGAAAGCATTTTCATTTTAGGAACTCCCTGAATTTAGGCACCCAATAATCTTTGTTCCACTGGATAGTTTGAATCTTCTCTACTGAGGTTTGGGATGACTGTGCTTTCCAGAATACTTAAAGAATTTTCCCTCAAGGAAGTAGCTTCAGTCCACAATGCAAAACACACAAAGGAATTTGGAAACGATTCTTTCCTTGAGCACGGACAGGGTCTCGAAGGGTCTGGATCTTCTGAATCTATTCTTGTTCTTTAAGTATTAAAAAGAGAAGAAAAGAAAAAAAAAGAAAAGAACAATCTGAGGTGATGGGTATGGTAATTAGCTTGATTGCGGTGATGATTTCACAAGGTTTATCTATAGCAAATCATCACATTGTACATCTAAATGTATACAATTTTCATTGTCAAATATTCCTAAACAAAACAAAACAAATAAAGACTACAGGTGGTTGATAGTGGTAAATAGCCCCCCAGGAGACAATAGTTCGAGTGAGTAACGCTTTTCAGAGTTTTTAGCAAAAGCAGAGTTAATGGTAGCATTCTTTATAAACAGAAACGTGAAACATTTTTTTTGTTTGCTTACAGTTTTAAATTCTGAATGATTCCTTTTTGCGTGTGTATTGCTAACCATTAAACCATTATTATTTCTACACACAAAGCCTTGTCTTTTTAAAATGTTTGCATGTCATCATTTTCTACAAGTAAAATACTCTTCAGCATTAAAAGTAGAAGCAGTTGAATCACACAGCTTTTGTTTTCATTTTTGGAGAAAGACATGGGGTTTAGAGAAGAAAGAAGAGTAAACTGTGTGTTAGGACTCTGTGTTATGAATGACATAAAAAACAACTGTAACTGGAGAGGGGGCAAAAAAAAAAAGATTCCCTTGCACGATGGAAAATACCAGAGCAGCTACCCTGTCATGAGGTAAGGCTTAAACCAGAGGCTCACGTGATATCCAAGACCCTTTTCTATTCTGTTGTTCTGCTCTGCCTTCAGCAGTTGTAGGCTTAACACTCAGTCTCTACACAGTATACTTCTAGATTTTTCCTCAGGATGTCAAAAGACTGGTAGGGTTGCCTGGGTGGCTCAGTCGAATGAGTGTCCGACCCTTGATTTTGGCTCAGGTCATGATCCCAGGGTCCCCTCTTTGGGCTCTGTGCTAAGTGCAGAGCCTGCTTGGGATTCTCTCTCTCCCTCTCCCTCTGCTCCTCCCCTACTTGCACGTGCTCTCTCTAGAGAGAGAGAAAGAGAGAGAGACTTAAAAAGAAGACTGAATGGTAGCTTGCCAGCTCTGGCATCCCTCCTGTCACACCCTCTGGCTAAAGGAATGTCCTCTTTTCTGGTGGTTCCCAAGGAGGAGAGTGGAAGTTCTCTTTTATAGAAGCCCCAGCAACTATATCCTTGCACGTCATTGGCTCTGGCTACATTGTAGGCCCATCTCTGACCAATGACTTCGCTCAGGAGGATGGACTGTATTTACTTATGTAAGTTGAATATGGCTCAAACTGGAGAAAGGGTATTTTCTCTAAAGCAGAACTGGATGCAGTTACCAGAAGTGGGAAAGTGGCTGATGAATTGCAAAAACACCTGTCCACAATACACCCTTACTGGTATGGTTGAATTTTCCTAGGTTTCTCAGGGAGATATCACTGGAAAATTACTACTGGTTTTCTCTAAAATTTCAACAAGCAGCTAATGTCTGGCCATGCTTGCAGTCCCACATCTGGGTAGGATGGCTTCTCCACAGCACTGGACACGGTGTCACACTCACTGTAAGTTCCCTGGAGCAGGGTCCGTTCTTTACAGAAACAGAAAGAGCCAATCTGCCCCGCACTTCCTGAGAGAAGTTATGGCCAAGATTTCAGAGTACTGGTCCTGTGATATTTTCATGGTCCCTTCATATCTTCAAGCATACTTATGGATTTGTTTATTTCTCTTCAGTTCTGCTAGTTTTTGCTTTATGAATTCTGGAATTCTCCTATTAAGTACATACTCATTTAATATTATGTCTTCTTGGTGAGTTTACTTTTTTAATATGTAATGCCTTTCTTTATCTCTGGTGGTTTTCCCTATTCTGAAGTCTACTTTGTCTGAAATTAATATAGGCACTTTAGCTTTCTTTCGATTACTGTTTGCATGGTATGTCTTTCTCCATCATGTTGCTTTAAATCTATCTATACAATTGATTCTTGAATAATGTGGAATTTAGGGCTCCAACCCTCCACACACACAAAAAATCTGTGTGTAACCTTTGACCCTCCAAAAACATGTCTACTACTGACCAGAAGCCTTAATGACAACATAGTCGACTAACATGTATTTTGTATATTATATGTATGTTATGCTGTATTCTTACAATAAAGTGAGCTAGAAAAAGGGAAATGTCATTAAGAAAATTATAAGGAAGAGAAAATACACTCAGTAATGTATGCAAATTTATTGAAAAAGAGTGCATGTTAGTGGACCCATGCAATCAAAACCCAATTTGTTCTGGGGCCCCTGGGTGGCTCAGTCTGTTAAGTGTCCAACTCTTGTTTTTGGCTCAGGTCATGATCTTATGGTTCATGGGTTCAAATCCTGCATCTGGCTCTGCCCTGGGAGTGCAGAACCTGCTTGGAATTTTCTCTGTCTCCTTCTCTCTCAGCCCTTCCCCCACACAGTCTCTCTCACTCAAAATAAACAAATAAACTTAAAAAAAGTAAAATTAAAGCCCATGTTATTCAAGGGTCAACTGTATTATTCTACTTACGATACATTTTCTTATAGACTGCTTGTGATTAGGTCTTGGTTTTTTATCCAATCTAAAAATCTTCTCTATTACCTGGTGTTTTAGACAATTTATATTGAATATAACTTTTGTTATGGTGGGACTTAAGGCTCCCATTTTGTTTTCTGTTTGCCCCTCATTTTATTCTCTTTCCTGACTTCTTTTGGATTAGTTGAATATTTCACAGTATCTCATCTTAATTTATTTATTGGTTTTTGTCTATGTGTTGGTGGTATTTTTTAGTAGTTGCTCTAAGAATTACAATGTATATACCTAATATTTCACAGTATAGTTAGAATGAGTATTTTAGCACTTCAAATAAAATATAGATGCTTATAATCAAATAAGGTTCTTTTTCCTGATCTCTTTACATTGTAGTCTCTATGTATATTACATCTATATACGTTGAAACATTACAATGTTATGACTTTTGCTATTAAAAGTTCTCCTTGAGCAAGGGAGACTGGAGCCACGTAGGGTCTTGACTAACCCCAGCCTCTGAATTTTGCTGTGTGTGGGCTGGTTGCTGAGAATGCATTTTACCCTGTGCAGAGACTAAAGACGTCAGCACGGCCCCACCAACAGGGACCAAAGTGGAAATATTTACCTCCAAATCCAAAAATCATATTCATCTAGTGTGTTACTTAGGAATTTTTAGAAACATCCAGGTTTTTAAGAATGTTTTGAAACAATTCTATTTTTTCCTTTAATTTAGTTTTCCCTCATGTATTTTATTGTAAGTCAGCTTGATTTTGAACAAAACTCACATATCTTTGAACAAAAACCACGTTTTCCCAAAAGGAGGCGAAGTGAGATCCCTTCACTTTATCAGTTACGTGTGTGTCACAAGATTAGTGTAAGGGGAGTTCCTGGACCAAGATGAAGGCGTAATGGGCAGTTCAGTCTGCGGTCAGAGTCAGGGCCGTGAACTGGTTCAGGTTCAGTGTGTGGTCGAAGTTAGGTGTGGTGGACACCTACTGAATGTTCTGCGATTTCTCCCTGATGGCCACCACCCGGCCCTTCACCTCAAGCAGTGAAGGTGGTCTGTTCTGTGGTCCATGCTGATCCCTTTCTCCAAGAGGCCATTGAATGAATCAGGGCAGGTGCTTGATCTAAGCCGGGCTGACCAGATCTCCCTCAGTAATATGAATTAAGATATGCAAAACATGCAGATTCAAGACT